CACAGAGAGGATGATCAGGGGTGATGTGAAGGAAGGAATGAAATGCAGATGTGCAACAATTTCCATATTTTATTTTTTTAGATGGATGAAGGTAGAGTTACATAGAAATGGGTACAGAGAAGGAAACAGGTTCATAGAGGCAGGAAGGGGATAAACCATGCAGAGTCCAGCAGACAATGATCAGAACTTTAGTTTGATATCAAATATGAAAACAAATCAGTGAAAGTGTCTGAGAAGTGTTAGGAGTTTTTCTTAATGATAGGTAGGGCAAGAAGAATTCTAAAGATGGCACAAAATATGTGATGAGAAACTGGAACAGGCAAGGCATCAAGATGAAAGGCATGATGGGAGAGCAGGGGAAGATGTCTCTGAAATAAGGTTCTGGATATCGTGTTGGCATGGAAATTTAGGGAGGAGTCAAAGGTTAAATACTCTCTACATAAGCATAAGGGACAGGAAAAATACTGAATCTGCCAAGAGAGACAAGAGAAAAAGGGCTGGAATATCTTTGACACCAGGGGAGTTTCTTTCGATCATGATACCACTAAACTTTCCAAATGCCTCTGAAAATATTTGTTGAAGCATGACTTATCTTCTTTCAAAAACATTTTTGCATTCCAAGTGATAATACAGTTAGAGTCCTCTGCATGGGTTTCCATTCCACAACCATTTTTGAGGTGACTAATTCTCATGGAATTTTGGGGGATTTGACAATTTAAATACCTTTACTTCCTTTTAAAAAACTGCTACCTTCTGCTAATAGATACATAGAGAACATGAAGGCATGAAATTTTCAGGCTAATAACCAAAATGTTTGTAAAATGTCTATGATTAGAACAAAAATATATAATAGACATGTGAAATTGTTTTAGTTAACATTTTAGTTTTATAGGGATTTTTTGTTGTTTCAGGAGGGAAGGTGGGTTTGTTCAGCTTTGAGGTTTTTTATTCTCTGTAGTTGAATCAATCTTTAAATGTTCATTAAGTTAGGAGTATTATATATCTCAGATGTTATTTAATCACTTCTTCTACCAAGCCATGTTATTTTAAATAATTGGTAAATGAATCACTTGCAGAGGTCTCTGCAGAACTGAAGATTAATACTGTTTTCTCCAGCATGAAACACTCAAATTTATCCTCTAGAAAACAATTCAGAACACAGAATACACTTCTGGGAATATGCAAGCAATTCTGTAAAGTCAGGGGAGGTTTACATTACGATTGCCATACAAAATTCAGACAAGTGAGGTCATAAAAGCCAAAAAAAAAGCAAAAACAGTTTAATGTAGGTGAATGTCAATGCCAAACAAGAAAAAGACAGTGAAGTTGCAGCTTGTCTGGGTGACTTCAACGTAACTGCATGCCTACAAGGGATTAAACATGAGGGAAGAACCTCAATGTGAACAAAACTGAAATTAAAATTCAGCAGTATACTGACTGAAAGAGAGGATGGAAAACGCAAGCAGCTATCTGGTAGCAAACATTAGCTACAGCAGATGTGACTGCCATTAGCTCTAAATGCATGTTAAATTAAAGCCAACATCTGTTCTCAAAAAGATGGCCTTAGTCATCTTGAAAGAAAAGTTAATTTGTAAATCAAAACTTTAGAAAAGGATTAAAAGGCAGGGTTTGGTAGAGGTAGAGAAGCCTGATGTCTGCCATGGCAAATTATAACTATGGGCAAATATTCACAGTCCTAAATGGTCATTCTACAACTCTGAATGAGTGGTGTTACACAGCAGCTGGTGAAGGTCCTGCATGTAGAAGTCAACAATACCTTTTAAAGGTCTAAATACAGGATTCAATTATTTGACTTCTTTTTAGACAAAGACAATCAAGTAGTAAATGCTGATGACAAATGCTGAGAAAAGGAAAGCAAATTTATAAAGATTTCTACATAATGACTAGCATCTAAATAATGAGCAGCACTTACACAAAGAGAAACAAAATTATTACAATACCAGGCATCACAAAATACTGGGGTCTAGAAAAATGAAAGTAGTAAGAACAAGTTGAAAGTTCAATCACACTGTTACCAAGGCTGGATGGATTTTCTGAGAACTGAGGAAAAGGATTTCCAAAATGATGAAGGGGTTACAAGTAGTAAAATATGTGGTAGGAAGTGTCATCAGAGAAATCACAGAGAAGAAACTGTGTCACCTAATCAGAGCGCTGAGGAATAAAAAAATGAATTGGAGGAGACCTACCTGGCTGGGATTTCTTAGCACTGTTCTTGGCCATCAAGTAGTAAGACTTGTAAGAAGTACTTAGTAGCAGGAAAATACTACAACGGAAGGGGAAGAGTGCCAGAAGCTATCAGTATTTGGTATCCTGCTCTTCCCATCGTGTTATCAGTTACATAGTAGTGGCTATCTAGATTTACTTTAGTAAATAGTATGTTGAAATAACTGTTTAAAAAACAGTTACAGCAACAATCATAAAATCTGAATTAATGTGTAGATCCAAGTGTTTATTTCTTGTTTTGGGTCTTGTTGTAAAACATGAAATTCAGTTTTATTTGGGCAGATTTAACCACCCTAAACTTAAGCAATGAAACTACGTTTCTGAATACCCATCTAACTTATTTCTAAAATATCATACAGATCTAAAGCAATCTTGTTAAAGTAACAAGTCTAAAGTAAGAAGTGAGGTGGCTTTGTTTAGTGAGGATCTGTAAGTTTAGGTAATTGCTTCACACCTTTTAATTTCACTGTAAAGTTTAAAGTTTACAACAACATAAAACTTGAAGTAACTATAGTTTCCTGTTTAATAGTGTGCAGTGAGGAAATTTTTAGATGTAATGAGTCAATGAGACCATGTATTCTTAAGTATTTATGATACTTCTGGGACAACTGTGCAAGAATTGTAGTGTATGTGCTACTGTTATTTGCTTCTCCCAGAATATTGTCATATCCCCTGCACAAACATCATCCATGCAATTCAGCCCTTACAGTTTAGAAATTATGAAAGAATGGTGTAATACCTCCATTAGAGACATCTCTTGTTAAACCTCTGATCTTAACTACTTGATAACAGGGTTACAGGCTGCAAGTTGTAATAACAAAACTGGCTAGCTAGTATAATGTAGGTGTAGATTATCAAAGGAACTGTACAAAAGGGAGTTTGCCGCTGCCATTTTAAAAATATTTTATATTGGTAATAATATCTCTGTTTTGTTCTGTTGACATAAAATCCTCTTGTCATTAGCAGCTATTTCTTGCTAATATACTGGTTTATGAGTTTTCAATAATAAAGTTCTTTCCCATTTTTTTTGTCTGAGAGTTGCTGTTTGAATGTTAAGTAAAAATTCATTTACTCTCACAACAAGATAGTAATATCTGAAAAGACTATTATCCCTGGGGCCAGAAACTACCTGCTAACCTCTCCATGCAATAATCACTACATGGAGTATATATTTGAAAAGAAAAAAACAAGCTAAGCCATACAAGCATGATGCTGCAATTTTGTTCTAGTGTAATGTCTTCTGTTGTCTTCCTAGGATGCATTTTTTGTCATTTTCATTGTTATCCTGGTAAAATTATAAATGCTATTACACAGTAAACATTAGAAATGTTATTCCAAATAAAATTAGCTGAAAAGAGATTAGTTTCATTATTTAAACAAAAGAAATATTGCTCCTACCATATTTGCTTCTGGAAATTGAAAAGTGAAGATGGAACAGGGGATAGAAAAAAGACTGGAAATTTGCCCTTGAGTTTCAATCTGCTTAGAGTTGAAAATAAACTTTTATTTTTGAAATAAAATTTTCTTAAATAAAGTTCTTCAAATTGTGGACTTGTAGCATTAGCAACTCATTTAAATAGTCACACTATAAAAGTGGTTGGTGAGCATTGTATTTTAATGACAGTTTTGCTCATGAGAAGTGCAAGACATTATTCCATCAATAAAATCAGAATAATTGCCATATATAAATGACAGCCTGAATCCATGTGTATCGAAGAAGTCCATGCCATTGGAATAAAAATGGAAAAAAAAATTTGGTCTAACATTGTAGCTGATGGAAGACACCCTAAATAAGATTTAGGACTTGCTCTGGCCAGAGATTCCTTTGGTATATAGGTAATTTCAGCTGCTTACCTTTGGATTAAAAATATTACTAATGGTTTTTAGGAAGTCAACACTAGATACTCCAATAGATACTCACAGATGTTCATGCTTTAAATAGGAGAGGTGCTGTCATTCCTGCAAAATAAACACATAGTAGGAGGGAAAGGAAAATGCTCCTCCAAGATGTTAAAGTGTAAACATAGGCTCTTGCAATAAAGTACAGGGAAAATTAAGGGAGAAATTAAAAAGTTGTGGAAAAAAACAGATTGTAAATTATAAAGAAAAGGGGAGTGGATAAATCTGTAATTTAACCCTGAGGATAACTCTCCTAATTGATGAGATAGTTAGCAAGGTAAAGCTGACATAGGAGATGGACTACTCAAAGAGGGCGGAAAGGGTGGGTACATGAGACTAAAAACTAAGGCAGAAATTCAAGTCAAAAACACCGCTAAAATTCAGGATCAGCACATGGACTCTAGAAAAACCTTGGTAGTTAAACAGAAGACATGAAGTTCAATGATCAAACTTGAAGCCATAAAAAGCAAACAGAAATCAAAAGCAGACATCAGTTCAACTATTTTAATGGCAAAGGAGACATGGCAATTTCTCATTACCTCACACCTTTACATCATGACATAATATGCTCATTTGTTCCAAGTTTCTGGACTGTGGGTGCTGACCCCACCTCTTTCCCTAGAGTCAGAGCATGCAATCAGGGAGTTGTGAAGCATTGAAGATTTACTATGCTCTTCTCTACTCCTTGCACACCCTTAGTCTTCAAGGTCAAGTAACTTCCATCCACCTCTTAAAGCTTGCCCAGATTATACAGATTTACTATCACCAATAATTCTTACACTATTCAATAATAAATTGTGAAAATCTGACTTAAATGAAACTTCAACCTAAGAAACTCTAAAAGGGCTCATCCAGTTCTGGTCACTGTATTTAGTGATGGAAAAGGGAAACAAACACATCATTATACTGCGTAGCTGATAAAATTCTGTGATGCTACTGGTTGTGACTATATATTCTAAGTAACTATTTCTAATGAAAAGGAAGCTTGGAAATTTTCAGGAGGAAGAAAATCTTTTGTTTGGTTAGGAATGGATTTTGTACTTTGCTGTTCTGGTAGCATGTTATTACTTCTACCCTGGACTACTTTTGTGGGTACTGGCTGCTTTTGCTGCTTCTGTATTAATTTCTGCTTCGACAGTAAGTTATGTTTCATGTGCTGTTTGGATTATCTTTGTGATAAGATACTGACACTGAAGTCAGGCTGTAGACACCATTTGTCAGAGATTCAAATAGTAATTTATTTGAAAAGTCTCATAACGAAATTCACTGATGTAATAAGTGTGCATGATAAAATTTAGTGCAACCAAATGTAACAGGATTTACAAAGTTCAAATACAGTATCTTAATCCAGACAGTGAAAACTTATAATTACATTGTGTATCCTGGGAGTTTGTTGATTACAAGTTCACTGATGTCTTTGTACTGATTAGGGCCAGGTAGTTTTTCCAGAAAATCATCTTCTTTGTCTGACCTGCTGTTTTCCAGAACACTAAGTTCAAGATCAGACATGTTAGATGGCAAGTAAGAGCTAACTTGATTTACTGACTGCTTTTGCCCTGTAGAGGTCTGTCCCTTTCCTGTATTCAGATCAGTATCAGATTTAACTTGTTTGCTTCTCAGCGTAGATATTTCTTTAATATGTCGATCACCCCTGTTCTCTTCCTTACTCATCTGTTGGGCTTTCCGCTCTTCATCTAATAATGATGCCTCCATCTCAGCAAGGTTAAGTGAATCAGCAGATTCAGCACTAGTTCCCATGCTGGTTTTAAAGTCACAGTTGCTCCTCAAAGACTGGACTGGAGATGAAGCTGAAGGAACTGGCACAAGATCTGAAGTACTTTGAGCTCTTTGACTTGTCTTTGAAATTCTGGACCTGCTGGATTCTGGCTTTGTATCTGACCTATCTTGCTTTGGTCTTTCAAGCCACAGAGGTTCAGGACTGCTCTCACGAACTTGTGAGTCTCTGCCTGTACACTCAGCATTGGTGAAATCTTCTGAACAAATTGAGTTCTCTGGACTAGCGACGAAGTCATCAGAGTATATGAATTCAGAGTTGTTTTCAACACTCCTGCTGGGGCTTAGTTTATGACCACTTAAAACAGACACATCATCGTGCTCTATGGTTTTATGATGGATTAAATGTATTGCATTGTTATAACTTCCTTTTGCATTAGCATCTGATGGGAATGCTGCTGGGAGTTGAGCTTTTGCATACTTTTCCTCATGAGCAGATTTTAACAGAGTTTCCTCTGGTAAGGGGGCTGTAATTATTGAATCGTTCCTGGATAGACTTGCAGCAGACTGTTTCTGCAGGCCAGGGGTTTATCTCCTGTCACAGAAATTGACTCTGAGAGAGCACTGTTTTCTAATGAAGTCTGAACAATTTTATCCAACTGATTATTCTGCTTTGAACTGCCTCCTGTGCCACAGTGCCTGCAAGACACCACATGCTGTTCTTCAGTATTTCTGACCAGTTTTCTCTTGGGTAAGGGGCTTCTCTCTTTCAGCATCTCCATTTGCTTTTTTCTGTACTGCTCCCTCCTTTCATGAATTATCAGCTTATCTGGGTTGGTCTGCTGCAGCCGTAGCCTCAGTGTATTTGTCAGCCCATACAACAATTTCTTTCTGGGAGGTCTGTTCTCCTTAGCTTTGCAGTTCCTTTCATAGGCTGGCTGTCCCTCAGGCACAGCTTTCTTGGGTCTTCTCCCAACCCCAGAAGACTCTGGGGAGGTGGCCTTTTGACAGCCTTGTTTGAAGGGAGGGCTCATGACTTCACTGTTCCTGCCAGGCCCCACAGGTGTCTCTGCAGGCCTCAGGGCAGCAGAGTGACTGGGGGGCCGTGAGGCTGTGTCCCCACTCCCTGGGGCCTGGTAGAGCCAGGCAAGATGGGGGTGGACAGCAGCAGCAGGCACAGCGCTGCGGGTGAGCACCAACAGTTCCGCCAGCAAGGCACTGAGCAGTGGCAGCTGCACCAGGGCGTTCTGGGTCTCTCGAGGGCTGGCGGGGTGCAGCAGCGTGGGCCCAGCACTGGGACGTGGTGGGCTGTGGCCCTTGTCCTTCTGCGGTCTCTGGGGCTCGACATGCTCCCATTGCCTTCTTGTTGCTGGCGGCCGCTGAGGCTCAGCCGGCTCACGGCTGTAATAGAGCAGTGGAGGGCAATAGACGTTGCCTTCCAGCTGCTCACCCTCCTCCTGCTCCTTCTCCTCGTCTCGCGGTTCAGGGGTGGTGGCAGGCGGTGTGGCAGCGCGGGGGCTGGCGAGACTCGCCTCACCGGCCTCCAGGTTGGTGAGGCGGTAGCGCAAGACCAGCTCCCCGACGGGGCGGCCCGCGGTGTCCCGCAGCGCGAAGCGGCCGCGGCGGTCGCAGGAGGAGGGCACCCCGGGCCGCTGCAGCAGCTCGGCGGCGGGGGCCAAGGACACGGCGCAGCTGCCCAGGAGGCGGGGGCGTCCCGGGGCGAGCCCGGCGGGCAGTGCCAGGAACAGGGCGCGGAGCGGGCGGCGGCGGAGGGCGGCGAAAAGCGAGTCCGGACGCCAGCGGAACAGGCACCGCTTGCCGCGGCCGAATGGGAAGGGCTGCCCCGGTCGCAGGGGCGGCGCGGCGGCGGCGGGGCGCAGCACGAGGGTGGGGAAGTCCAGGAGGCGCAGCGCCACGGCCGGGTGTTCCGCAGGTCCCCGGAGCTCCGCGGGCCCCGGCTCCGCCATCCGCAGCGTCTCCACCAGCAGCTCCAGCGCGAACAGCCGCTCCATGCCGGCCCGCGGGCCCCGCTCTCGCGAGAGGCCCCTGTGTGTGCGGGTGCACGCGAGGCGGGCCGCTCTCTCGCGAGAGTCGCGTGCCAGCAGCGCTGCCTATGCCGGGGCGCTCGGGCCCGGGGGCTCTCAGGGCTGCTCGGCCCCGCGTCCCACCGGCGGGGGTGAGGGTGTGTGCCTCCAGCGGCTCCACTGTGCCTCCAGCAACCATGCTGGCCGCCTGCTCTGGTGGCTGGGAGGGGGGCAGCCCACGGAAACAGGTGCTCCCCGGGTCTGTCACAAGCGCCTGGTGTGTCGTGGCAGCAGCCCTCGGCTCCGAACACCCTGGTCGTGTGTTCCCCACCGTAGTTCTCAAGAGACTGGAGCTCAGGTGGGATGGCCCTGTTTGTGGAGGGATTGAGCGACCTTAAACTGTTTCACATTCGCAAGCTCACTGGATCAATTGGGTTGGAAAAGACCTCTGAGATCATTGAGTCCAGTCTTTGACCGGACACCACCACATCAACCAGACCGTGGCACTCAGTGCCATGTGCCAGCCATGCCTTAAACGCCTCCAGGGATCGTGACTCCATCACCTCCCTGGGCAGCCCATCCCGATATCTAATCACACTTTCTGTTAAGGAATTCTTTCTAATGTCCGTCTAGACCTCTCTTGGTACAGCTTAAGACTATCTCCTCTTGTCCTATCCATAGTTACAGCCTGTTCCCACTCTAAGAGAAACATGGGGGTCTGTGTCAAGGGGTGTATACTGAAAAGTCTCTCCACAGTATCTTGGATATGCATTGATAAACTCTCATTTTCTCTCCTGTCTGCATGTAAAGTGGGAGTTGAAGTGAACACACTTGTGAAGAATTTCATTCCTCAACCTGCTGCCTGACAAAGAGTGTGCCCTTCCCTCTCTGGCCATCCTTCCCTTACACCACAGTCTCCTTGCCACAGGAACAAGGAATACTTGCTGAGATAGAAAGAAAATTGTGTTGTTTTCTTCAATTAGTAAGTTGACTCTAAAACAACATGTCCTAAACTGAGGAAGTTGGATTAAAATTACAGTACACCATCACCATTTACCAGCAGCAAAGTAAGTGGAAGAAGAACCAATCCCCTCTCTCTTTCTGGTTATTTCCTCCCTTTTTTTCCCCCCCACTTTTCTTCAGGTGTCAATTCACAATTTTTTAGAAAAGTAAAAACCAATAGGAGGTGGTCAAAAATCCAACTCTTCGCTGTTGGTCAGATCCCTTGATTATTATTTAAAGGACACCTTTCGTTAGCTGTTATGTCTGAAAAGAGAGTTAAAGAGTTTTACTCCTGTGTTGTGATCAGGACTCAAGAATTACGTAATTGAGTTTTCAGTTCCTCTGCTGCCACTGTTCTAAGCACGTGAGTCAAAGAGCTACATGTCTTCTGCCATCAAGGCTGCCAGTGTTCATGTGTGGCACTGTACTGGCATTGTAGCAGACAAGACAAATGGCCAGTCTGTTTCACTACAGTATTCATGTCCTGCCATCTGTCATCTGCTTTTTTGTGTTTCCTTTTCCTCCAGCCAGGAGGGCCTGATAGTTTAGTAGACATTCTCCATAAAGGAGAAATGGCAGAGGAAAGACTTCCTGTTACACTGAAATTGACAAGAGATTTCACAGTGGTCACTCTTGAAGTTGCCTGCAAAGACAACAGATCAGCATTTTGCCCATTTTATAGGTGGACATTACTGTAACTATGAGGTTTAGCCCACAATTTCTGTTCTCTTATATTTGCCATATTTGGCAAATTTCTATTATCTTATATTTGCCATCTTACACACTTGCCATCTTTGTAGAGGAGGATGCATCTTTCTGTGTGGTAACTGCAATTGGAATTTGGGGGTGAATTATTGAGGAACGATATTCTTTTTTAAAGATGATGAATCTCTACATGCAGAAGTTTTCAGTTTCATAGCCCTGAAAATCAGACAATTCCTGTATTTTGTTCTGCACAGACAGTATAAATAAAAAGTATGGAATACTTGTGAAAACTATAGGTGTTAATAAGCTGTGTAAGATCAGTCAGCAAGCTAGTGACAAAACAACTATTTAAATAGAAAGGAGGAAGGAGTTTTAAGTTTGTTGCAGTTGGTATGTTTTATTAAGTCAATCCTCCGGTCATGAGAGCATATTTCTATTCAAAATAAACAGAAAACAACATTGTGGTTTTGAATTGCAAGTTAGGAGAAAGAAAAAGTATTTTTCTTCTTAATAGCCTTAGTTTCTACTAACACCATTTAAAAGATACTTGTGATAAGACTTCTTTAGATTGCATATCACTGAAGAGTGATTTAGAAAACAGTCATGCTGCAGAAGTAGGGTTATGGAGCCAAGTTTCATTACCCTCTACCACTCCAAGGTACATATTCAAATCTACATTAGTTACATTTAGTAATCTTTTTAAAATAGCTTTGCTTCTTCTCAGTTCTCCTTTCTTATAAATAGACTTCAAATTTTCTGGCTTTTTAAAAAAAGACTGGAAGACTGAGGAATTTTGCTGATTCAGTGAAATCTTTCACTGACCTTTTTTGTGTGTTTGAAGTACCAACTTTCTGTCTCAAAAAATTCTAACCCAGACAACTGGTATCATTAACAGCAACTCAGCAACTTTGGTGCAAATCTATCTTTTGAAGGCTTTGAGATGTCTTTTTTTTGCTCTTAATTCTTGTACAATTTCAGATGTATCGATCTCTCTTCACAAAGAGATCTGTCTATACAATTATATATCTGTTTATGGGTTGACACATATGACATTTAAAAAAGTTTTTGAGAAAGCATGGATTTTGCTAGATTCACAGCTGAATCTGCCTGTTCTGGTGTTGTTCTAAAGACCGCATTTTTTAGAGATCAAATGCTGGCATAAAGAGCCACTGTTTACCTGCATTTAAATTTCTCTTCTCTGTGCAGAATGTACAGGGCAATGCATGGAATTTGTGCAAATATTTGGCCTGGTGGCACTCTGATTCAGAAAGGAGTCAGACAGTCTGCTGGAATATTCAGCTGCAACATAATAGCAGTTCTTAAAATACTCCAGCTTAAAATTCCACCCAGAGAAAACTTATTTAGTCTTTTCTCAGTTGTCTGTTGAGTCAGCCACTTGTGAAGGGGCAATAAACAGGAAGAAATTCAGGAATTAGCATGGCAGTCTTCGATAACTCTCTTCATCAGTTCAGAAAAAATACAAAAATTTATAAAATACATTAGCAAAGCATTTGAGTTTTTTGCAATTTATTTAGGTTTCTCTCTTGAAGAATCTAGAAGAAGTTTTGAAAATAAATAAGGTCAAAGAAGAAAGCTGAATCTATTCAGAAATTGCTGTTTACATATGTTTTGGTATATTGTGCAGAGTTTTGCAGGGAACTTTTCTGTGTCCATATTCTACTTCATGATCCTTAATTTCATGCTGACCCAGATCTAGTGATGTATGGAGCAGTCTAGGAATAGTTGCAATGGTATTATTGTTATCCATCCACTGGCATTTTGTTATCCATCAAAATGAAGGATACTGTGGTTTTGCCCCACTTCTCAGTGTGTACCCTCCTGTACACAAAGTGTCCCATTGTTTGGGTGGTCAGAACAGCTGGTACAGAACCTACTCAGACATACAGCTCCAAAATTCCTCCCTTGTGTTGCTACCCTTAAGATGCTTGTGAACTCCTCTTAATTCAGTGTCATAGCTATCACGTTTATTTTCACTCTCTACTATCTTTAGCAGACTTTGGGAGTGCTAAAATAAACATTCTTTGCCTAGTCATGTGGCCCTTCTCCATTTGGCAAACATCCATCTGTTTGCTGTCTTTTTAATGATTTCATCACTTTCCTTAGTATTTTACTTTTTCAGAGTGGAGGGAGTTGGGGCTTATGGCTGAGCTACTTCTTCTAAGTCAGCAGGGGTGGCACAGAGGATTGGTGGGGGAAATGGTTGGCCTTTGAAATGCATGTGGTTTTCACAGCCAGCTTAGAAATACAACCCATGCCAGGTTGTCTTCTGATTCCAAATTTCTTCAGGGATTAATGTGACTGCAGCAAAGCACAGCTTCTCCTTCTGTACTGAGCAGTCATCATCATCTTTCTTAGATGCAGCAAAACTCAGTCCAAGTAGACATCTAAAGGAAACAAGGAAAAATCTGGCAAGTACTGTGAGAGCCAACAGGAAGCAGGTTGTCGCAAATACAGGAGTTCAGAGAGCTATATTGAACATGACACTGAGACATATCCACAAGGGTCGCATCTGAGGTGATTTCCTTTATTTGAAAAGAGTTCTTATTAAAGCAAATAGACATTTTTGCTTAAAACACAACAATAGTGAAGGGTCAACCTCAGGATTCAGGTCATTGAATATTCTTTGTATAATGCCCAGCAACATTCAAAGCCAATTTCCTTAAATACCTGGGTGTTATTGGCACACAGAGGCTTTTCTCTCAGTTTCGTATTTTATATAAACCATCAGAAACTCATTTGGATTAACAGAAATTCCAGAGGTTCACATGCTGCCATTTATAATTAATTAATGTATCATTGTTTAAACTGTGTTACTTCCCATCAAATAGCTGTGAAGCTTTCAGAAGTCCTCAGAAGGATTTGATTTATTTCCTTTGGCTTCATGGTTGCAGCCCATACTTGTCATGCACATATGTAGTGAATGAGGAGAGGATTCCAGGTGCTTAGCCATCCGAAGAGGACAGCTTAGTCACACAACAGAGCAGTTCCTGCATATGTTTCAGAAGCACAGAAAATCTGCAGCAAAAGTTTTTGTCAAGATGTGGGGATCCTTAAAATTCGTGTTGTAACTGTATGGCTGGAGAGGTCCTCAGCTCCTCTCAGAGGTGTTGTCTTTGCAGGCAGTGAGTTTTCAGACTCGTCACCTCCTAAATGGATATATTTACAGCATTTCTCTAGCTCAAGCTGGGAACCATTGGAGACAAATTGCAGTTCAAATATCTGACAGGGCTTCTGACAGCGATAGCTCTTGTGAGCCTCAGGATGGTTCTTAAAATCAAT